GGCGCTCTTTGGTTTTCGGCGCTGCTTTTAGTTTTCTGCGCCCCTGGGGTGTTCGGCGCCTCTTTGGTTGTCTTCGCCCTTTTGATGTTCGGCGCCCCTTTGGTTTTCGGTGTCCTTTTGGTGTTCAGAGCTCTGTTGGTTTTTGGCGCCCCTTTGGTTGTCGGCGCATCTTTTAATGTTTGGCGTTTTTTTTATGTTCGTCCTCCTTTTGGCTTTCTGCGGCCCCTTGGTTTTTGGCGCCATTTTGGTTTTCGGCGCTCCTTTGGTTCTCGGCGCCCTTTCGGTTTTCGTCGCCCTTTTGGTTATCAGCGCGTCTTTTGGTTTTCGGTGACTCTTTGGTTTCCGGCGCTCCTGCGGTTTTCGGCGCTCCTGCGGTTTTCGGCGCCCCTTTGGTTTTCGGCGCCTTTTTTGTTGTCGGCGTTCTTTCCGTCTTCGGAGCTTCTGTCGTTTCCGGCGCATCGTTGGTTTTCGGCGCTTCTTTGGTTATCGGCGCCCCTTTGGTTTTTCGGCGCCCCTTTGATTTTCTGGCGCGTCTTTAGTTTTCGGCGCTGCTTTTGGTTTTCTGTGCCCCTTTGGGTGTTCGGCGCTTCTTTGGTTTTCGGCGCTCCTTTGGTTTTCGGTGTCCTTTTGGCTTTCGGCACTCTGTTTGTTCTCGGCGCCTTTGGTTGTCGGCGCCTGTTTTTTGTGTTCGGTGCTTTTTTGTTTTCGTCCTCCTTTTGGTGTTTCTGCGCCCCCTTGGTTTTCGGCGCCGCTTTGGTTTGCGGCGCACTTTCGGTTTTCGGTGTTCCTTTTGTTCTCGGTGCCCTTTGATTTTTAACACCCTTTGGTTTTCGACCATTTTGGTTTTCGGCGCCCCCTTTGGTTTTCGGCGCTCCTTGGGTTTTCAGCGCTGTTTTGGTGTCTGGTGCCTTTCAGATGTTCGGCACCCTTTTGGTTTTCGGGCATCATTGTGGTTTTCGGTGCCCTTTTGGTGTTCGGCGAGCGCCTTACTGGTTTTCGGCGCCCCTGTGGTTTCCGGCGTCCTTTTCAAGTTCGGCGACTGTTTGGTTTTAAGCGCCTTGTTGGGTTTCGGTGCTCTTTGGGTTTTGGCGTCCTTTTGGTTTTCGGTGTCCTTTCGGTTTTCGGTGTCCTTTGGGTTTTCGGCGTTCTGTTGGTTTCCGGCACATGTTTGGTGTTCGGCGCTTTGGGGGTTTTCGTCCTCTTTTTGGTTTTCTGCGCCCCTGTGGTTTTCGGCGCACCTTTGGTTTTCGCCGCTCCTTTGGTTTTCGGCGGTTCTTTGGTTCTCGGCGCCCTTTGGATTTTGGCGCCCTTTGGATTTTGGCGCGTTTCGGTTTTCGACGCCCTTTTGGTTTTGGGCGCCCTTTTGGTTTTCGGCGCTCCTTTGGCTTTCGGCGCTCTGTTTGGTTTCCGGTGCCCTTTTGATTTTCGGCGCCCTTTTGGTTCTCCTCACCGTTGTGGTTTTCGTTGCCCTTTTGGTGTTCGGCGACCCCTTAGTTTTCGGTGCCCTTTTGGTGTTTGGCGACCCTGTGGTAGTCGGCGCCTTACTGGTTTTCGGCGCCCCTTTGGTTTCCGGCGTCCTTTTCAAGTTCGGCGACCCTTGTTTTTGGCGCACTTTTGGGTTTCGGCGCCCCTTTGGTTTTCGGCGCCCCTCAGGTTTTCGGCGCTGCTTTGGTTTTCGGCGCCCAGAGCCTTTGTTGGTTTGCAGCGCCTCTTTGGTTTTCGGCGTTCGTTCGGAACCGTTCGGGTTTCGGCGCCTTTTCGTTTTCGGCGCCCCTTTGCTTTTCGACGCTCTTTCGGTTTTCGGCGCTCCCTTTTGGTTTGCGGCGCCCCCTCGGTTTTCGGCTCTCCTTTGTTTTCGGCGCTCCACATCGACTTCGTGGTCTTCCGCATCTCCTGGGCCTCTCCTTACCAGTCGGTGGCACCGGGTGCACTTCGCCTTCCTGGTCTTCCTCTACCTCGCGAGCGTTGACTTGCTCACGGCCCTCCTCACGCAGCACTCGAGGATGGTGTTCTTGGCGCGCCGATGACGGCAACACCAAGCCATTCTCCATCTGGGACCTCGCCCCCTGCTCCAGTCCATGGCGTACCTTGTCCCGTGCAAGATCTTCGGCACCGCCTGTTCTCTGAGCCCTCCTGCCGCCTGAGGCCCTGCCCGCTCGAGCCTTGCCTCCCCAATTAGGGCTACTCGCGCCCAGTTTAGCTCTTGACCGGAAGGGGCCCGCTCCCGACCTGCAGACCAAAAAAAGTGTTCGGCGCTCCTTTGGTTCTCGGCGCCCTTCTGATTTTCGGCGCACCTTCGGTTACCGGCGCCCTTTCGGTTTTCTGCGTTCCTTCGGTTTCTGGCGCGCCTCTAGTTTTCGCACCCACTCGGTTTTCGGCGGTCTTTGGTTTTCGGCGCTCCGTTGGCGTTCGGCGCCCTGTTGGTTTTCAGCCCCCCCCCCCCCTGTAGCCCAAAAGGGGGGAGTTGGGGGGGGGCGTCCAGCTGAGAGGATCCAAGGGGGGGCAGCGAACCCCCCCCTTTGTAAAGGGAGGGGTGGGGGGAGGAAAACTTCGAGAGGCACAATGGGGAGGGGGTTGGGGGTAACTAAGCCCTCCCACCTTGGGACAGGGAAGGGAGGGGGGTGTAGCTTCCGGAGCGCGAAAGAGAGGGAGGGGGGGGGTAGCTTCCGAGGGGCAAACAAAAGGGGGCGGGCCCGGCAGTGGAGGTCCAGGGAGGCGGGGGGTAGAAAAGGGGGGACTTGCGCTCTCCCATACAGCTATCTCATGTCTTATGTTTATATATATATATATACATACATACATACATACATACATACATACATATACATACATTCATTCATACACGTGTATCTACGCATCCGCGTGCCGAACAAGCAAAAGCACGAATCCAAAAGCCTTGTCGCGGACCCCCTCTCCTGTCTTTCCCTCTTGGCCCATATCGGGAAGCGAGACTCAAGCCCGAATTAGCCCGCAAGTATGCCCTTTCTTTCTCGACGCTGTGCCATGGCAGGGGCCCAACGGCAATGGAGTGAAATGTTTGGAAAGGCGATGGCAATACAGACTGGGCCCGAGGAGGGAACGCAGAAAGTTCGCAGAAACGATCATCGAGAAATTCGAAGCGATATCGAATGATCAGATGGGTATAATCCGTCGGTTAGATGATATCGAGTCCCACACCTTGCGTAGAGAAGTGCAGCCCAATCAATATTGCCAGCAGCTTGTCCCATCGGGGCCGGCTGTAGCAGTACAAGGGCCAATTCGGTACGTTGAGGTACTTGAGTTTGGGTACGTCGAACAGTCGTCGAAGATCCCAAGGTCGTACCTGTGCAGTCGCTCGTGGAGCAGTCTGAACGCAGGCCAAACGCTCGTGGCAATGTCAGAAGTGATGAAATTAACAGAGATCTTGCGAGGCGAGTCGCGTATCCAGCGAAGATGAAACGGTCAAGGAAGTGGAGGCCACACTCGACGGTTTAATAGCTAGCAGTCAAACACACATCGGGTTGTTGCTTGTGGATTGCGGATCAAATTGGCAACCAAACTTGGAATTGCAAATCAACATTCCCAAATCCAAACCGCGCGAACTTATTCAGGGATGAAGTGGAGCAGCGCTACGACTTCATGCGCATCAGTATTAACGTTGGCGGAGAGTGCGCAGCAAACTCCACAATGTGACCGGGGACCCGTTGAGCAAAAACGGCGAGCTCTTGAAATTGATGTACACATTGCACAAACGATGGCCCAGGTGATGGGTAGTGAGGCGCGAACGCATGTGAGGCAAATGTGTCCCCTATGGGCATAACGTTCGTCCATTATCAAACAACGAGAACGGTTGTCTCAATGGAATCAATCATGTAAGTTCCAATTCGTCAAGCAGCCGTGCAATACGACATCTGAGTTTCGGCGCTTCGGCGCCCCCGCCGAGCTCTCAGAAGGCCGCCCCCCCCCAGGCGTACATTGGCGCCTTGCCTTGCCATACCTTGCCATGCCTTGCCTTGCCTTGCCTTGACGCTCTTTGGGGGCCTTCTCGGGCCGTCTTGGGGGGGGGGGACCGTGTCGGGGGGCCTCTTGCCCCCGCCCCGACTAAGGGAATAAGTGGGCTCGCAAAAGCGAAGAGCAGATTTGTTCAACCACCTCCGCCCAAAGGGTTTGCGGGATTACCTCTCTCCATCCTCCACCCCCCATTCCTCCATCCAACCGCCTCTCCATCCCCTCATCCCTCCAGTCCTCCCTGCCTCCCCTCTGTGTCTCGACGCCTCCGATTTCACGGCCACGTGGGTGGGAACGCAGAAGATCATCAAGCTTCCGTGTGCTGCCCCTGTCGAGCAGGAGCCCTGCCCCATTTCCCCCCCCCCCCTGTGCATACCCCTTTTCGTGCGAAGCCCGCTCCTGGGGCTGGCGGCGGACCAGGCAAGAGCGCCGCTCTTGCCCACGCCAGTCGGCACATTTTCGGTCGGCTGCGCGGGCGTCTTTTTTGCGCGGTTTATCGCTGTCCAAGCAGCGGCGAGCAGGCGAGGAGGAGGAGGAGGAGGAAGACGAAGACGAATTGGAGGGAGGAACAGAGGGAGGGAGGGGAGGAGTAGGAGGAAGAGGAGGAGGAGGACGAGGAGGAGGAGGAGGAAAAAAGGGGGAACAAATGAAAATGAGAAGAAGAAAAACACGATGACGACGACGCCGATGACCACGGCGACGACGAGGAGGATCGGCGAGCAGGCGAGGAGAAGAAGGATGAAGAAAAGGAGGAGGAAGAAGAGGAGGAGTAAGAAAGAGGAGGAGGAGGGAGGAGTAGGAAGGAGCAGAAGCAGCAGGAGGAGGAGCAGGAGGAGGAACATAATCAGGAACGGGAGGAGCGGGAGGTGCAAGACGTGGGAGGAGGAGGAGGAGAAGGAGGAAGAGAAGGAGGAGGCGGAGGAGGAGGAGGAGGAGGGCGACGATGGGGACGAGGAGGTGAACGAGGCCGGGGAGGAGGATGAGGAGGTGGAAGAGAATGGCTCGTGCCCGAGGCCATGCGGCGAGCGCCGCCTGGCATAGGCGCCCGCGCGACCGCCTCCCGCCGCCCCGCGCTGGGAGGGGGGAGGATTGCGGCAGAAATTTTCGCATCCCTCTGCCCTCTTATCGCATCCCTCCTCGTCATTCGTTCTCCCCTCTCGTTTTCCTCCCGATATTTGCGAGGACCACTGTGGGCCTCAGATGTCCAAGTCGGCTGCCACGGGGCGTGTTAGTGCCGCACCGCCTGATTGTTGTTGAGCTTGACATCCCGCAATGGCCTCAACCTGTGGTGGCGGCTTGCGGATACTTCCATGACTCCGAGGGCCTTTCGAAGCGCAACCTGAAGATTCTGAGGGAAGCGGGCGAGGCCCTCGAGGGCCAGCACCTGGCCATCTTCGGAGCGGATTGGAACATGCAGTCGTCGATTGTCGAGTTGTCGGGGTTACCACGTAGAGCAAACATGGTCATCCTGCAGCCACCAGCCGAGACATGTGCCACGGCAGCGGCTAATCCGTACATTGACTATTTCGTGGTGTCGCCAGCGGTTGCGAAGTTGGTCGATAAGACCTCCACCATCGCGACGTGGCCGCACCGCCCGCACAAGCCTGTGCAGTTGCAGTTCAAGGCAGGTGTTAGCGGGGTCAAGCAGTTGATATACCAAACGCATAAGAGGCTCCCTAGGGAGCCCCCTTTCGGTCCTTCCCCCGAGCCGCCGTGTTGGGAGGTCCCCAGGGCCCTTGCCGAAGAAGCTAACAAAGCTGCCAGCGTTGATTCGGTGATTGTGGCGTGGGAACTGCTCTCTGCCGCGTGGAAGCGTTTTTTTTTTTTTCGGATGTCATGGAGGTCGAGTTGGAAGGTAAGTTGGACACCCCGATCAAGAACAAAGGCCTCAAGGGGCTTCCGCCGTCGGCGAAGTGGGTCTCGGTTTTTACTAAACCCAGACGGAACCCCGAGGATGAGGAACTGGTCTGCGAAGGTTGGATTTGGCTCCAACAAAACCTCAGAGATCTCCAATGCACGGCCGTGCGAGTGCATGGGAACCGTGTCATGAATGTGAACCAGGACATCCAGGCTGTGTTTAACATCTGCAGCATCACCCAGCAGCCCTTTCATGGGGAGGGCCTGTCCGCGAGGCTGGACGCCACGGTCAGCGCTGCCAGGCAGTTAGTTTTGCCTCGGCCTCAGGACAGAGGCCATCTGCATGATTGGCTCGAAAAGATCACGCAAGCTCTTGATGATTGGGGCGAAGATTTCGACAGCGCCCGATCGGGCCTCGACGCGCGTGCTAAGGTGAGCTGGGATCAGTGGCAGCGCGAGGCGTTATCGGGGTCGGCGCGGAAGATGCATAAGCTTTCTCGGTTAAAACCCAAACGGTTGCCCACGATCATCGAAACGTCTCCTGGTGATTTTTCGGCCGACCCGCGCAAGTTGCTCGCGAATGAAGCCGACGTGTTAGGGTCCTATTGGAAGGCGTCCCCAAGCCCTGAGCCACTCGAGGTGCTGGACAGGCAGTGTTTTGAGCGCTTGAGGCCAGAAGATATCCGCGCTCTCTGTAAAACGTTCAGTCCTCACACGGCTCAGAGTCTGGATGGCGTGCACATCAGACGCTATGGCATGCTGTGCGATGCTGGCCTTGCGGCCCTCGCGCGCATGTTCCAGACGATCGAGAAGATCAGAGTCTTCCCGAAGGCCGTTTACTGGATGCTTTTCCCCCTCCTGGAAAAACCCGGGGGTGGGCTTCGACCCGTTTTGCTCTGCGCGGCCCCTGTTAGGCCGTGGGAAAGAGCTAGGCGCCCCATGGTCCAGGATTTTGAGGCCAGACACCCCAGAAGGCATTGGGCGTTCGGCGCGGGGAAGTCGGCGGAGCAAAGCATCTGGAACCAGGCTGTCAAGGCGGAAGCTCATGTTGGAAAAGGGAATGTGACGGGAGGTTTTTCGTGGGACGGATCTAAGTACTACGAGTCCTTCCGATTGACCACGCTCAGAGATCGCTCGCTGGCTGCGGGCCTGCCGAGTGTGGTGGTCAAGGTCACTTTCAATGTGCCTATGGAAGCCCCGACCATGTCGTGGAGGTGCTGGAGAAAGCTGCCGATGACCTTCACCTTGTTTTTTTTTGCAAGACGATTTGGGAGTCGGACTGGCTGCCGACAAACTGTTGACTTTTGTCTCCTCGCCTGTTCTGTCGCTGCGGACAGGACGTCGCCTCGGAACCCTGGCTGGCACTGTGGGAACCATGTGGTATCCCTTGGAGTTGATCTGGCCCCTGGGGTTAAGAGGAGTGTGAAGCAGGCTTGCAGCAAGAGGAAAGGTAGACTTGCTGATATGATTCGCAAGCATCGTAAGCTCAAACGTTCGAGAAGGGCCCTCCCCAGGGACAAAAGTAGGATTGGGAAGATCTACGCTGCGGGGGCCAGACCTGCGGTGTCTTTTGGGGACACGGTCACGGGCTGCAGCGACGCTGAGCTCAAGAAGATCAGGTCGGTTATGCTTTCTTTTTCCACACCCGCTCGTGCGGGAGTCTCGGCCCAGGCGAAGACTGTGCTGTTTGGAGATCCAGTCTGGCGCAGCATGGTCGCGCCCGCCTTAGCCTGGGCCGCTGCCGTGTGGCAGACGACAACTAAGCCCGCGCTCGCCTTCTTCACACTTCCCGAGCTGCGCAACATGCGGTTGGCGGTGCCGCAGGACGGTCTCAAGTGGAAGAACTCGGGGGGCCCCATTCGCCGTATGTTCCTGTCCCTTCAGCGCATTGGGTGGGAGGCCCTGGGCCCGCTTATGTGGAAGGATGACAAGGGAAACGAGCTCTCGCTCTTATAGAATTCCCCCTCGATGTTAGGAGCTCTCCTCCGTGAAGGGGCTCAGAGGCGCCATGAAAGGTCCCTGGCCGAAAAGCTCGGTTGGGGGGAGGGGGAACGTGTGTGTGTGTTGAACCGATACGCCGCATCACTAAAGCGTTGGGTAAGGGTAGTGGGCTCAACGCTCAAGGTAAATAGATTGTTAAGTCTTTGTTATGTGATGGGTGTTGGTGTGAAGATCGGGCCGCCAAGGCTGGCTATTTATCCTCGTGATTGTGCCCCCTTTGCAGTCGCCCCGATTCGCTGCAACATAGATTGTATCACTGCGTGGGTAGTCCTGAGGCGCGCGCCGCCCGATCGGCCGTTGAGGCCAGTGATTTGTTTTACCAGCAGGCGCAGGATGGCCCCAGTGAGTTCTACACAGGACTCAAGTTTCGCCACCCTGCTAGTTCATGGCCGCCACCAAGCGACGAGCACGAGCCCATGCTGTTCACTGCGGACGGGTCGCCTTTGTCATGGAACGATTTCGACACCACGGGTTTGAGTGTGTCTGGAGATGGAACCTGCACCCCGCATACCATCAAAGAGCTGTCCAGGGCATCGTTTTCGTGGGTCTTCATGGGGCCCGAGGGTCAGCAGGTGGCGACGGCGAAGGGCACGGTCTGGCCGTCGCTCCCGCAGACGAGTCAGGCGGCAGAGCAGCTGCAACTGAGCCTTTTTGTCGATTTTCGCGCCGAGGCACGGGGAAGCATGCTACAGTGACTGCATGAACGCTGTTCGGTTACACAACAGCACTCCCCAGCAGCAACTCAGTCACAAACACAAGTATGCGGGCCTGCGCAGAGGAGCGTTACAGCACATGGTTAATAACAAGTATGCCCCAGCTGTTTATACCCCAGCGCACAGAGAGCTGAGAGTCATTGATGCGCTCCCCGCCCCTGAAAGATGGGTAGGTCAGGCCAACTGGCAGGCGGATTTAGTAGCTAAGACGGCTCTCCGACTACACCCGCAACCGTCTGCTGCGGAGGTAGAGGCGGTCAACAATGCGGTGGAGCATCTCCAAACAGTCGCTCGCCTTGCCGCGGGGATCCTCCCACTGTTTCCGAGGGTCCAACACCAGCGGCCACCGACAAAAGAGCGCCCCGTCAAACTTTTTGATAAGAACGATGGCTGGCACTCCTGGGAGCCCTGGCTTTGGGGCTCCAGATGCGTTAGTTGTTTGAATTTCTACAGTGGAACGAAGGACTCGAGACCTGAGGCGGGTTGTTCGGGTTTCCCCGCGAGGGTTAAGGAGCTTTTGACTCTGTCCCCTCGGCATGGCCATCAGTTGCCCTCAACTCAGGTGGCTAACCAGTCGAAGCCACTCTTCTTTTGCATGCTGTGTGGTTATTTTGCCCAGCATGGGATATTCAAGTTAGCTAAGCGCTGCCGCCAGCCCCGTATGGACGAGGACAGGAGCAGCGCTGGAACGACGGCTCTCAGGAGACTGCGGAAAGGACTGCATCCCAAGAAAGAGCTGTCAGTGACATGCGCGGAGCACGAAGCTCCACTCAGCCTGCAAGAAGCGAATTCATGCGAACAGGCGGTCAGGTCTGTACGTATTCCAGCTCATGCCAGCTATATTGATAGGCTGGCGGCTCTGCGAGCTCGCATTGCTGCGAAGGAAGCGAGGGCGGTGGAGCTGGGAGGGGGTGGTGGAGTCGTGGGTCAGGCTTCGGCTGAGGCGACGTCGGGTAGACTTGCCCCCGAGCCAAGCGATGCGATCGCAGTGGACGCAGCTGCGCAGTTTTGTTCTGAGGGAGGTGAGTCGCCCCATGCGGTGTGCCCCGCCCTCGACTCAGATCCCAGGTCCGAACTCGATCGAGCGGACCCCTCGCGAGGAGGGGTGGACAACGCTCCCCAGGTCGCAGGCAAGGTCCAAGATGACCTTGATTCGGGATCCTCGGACTGAGACGAGTCGAGAGGCGGCTGGCCAAGGCCCACTCCCCGTTTGGGAGGGGTGCGCTGTGGTCTCCTGCACATCGCTACCGCTCAGTCTGGAGGGCCACTGTGCGGCCCCTTTGTTTTTGGTTCGGTCAAACGTGACCAAAAAAATCTCGTTTTCCTCCCTCCTCGTCTTCCCCCCCTTTTCCACTTTTCCTCCCTCCGCCCTCCCTCATCCCTCCTTTTCCCTCCCCATAACAGGACCGAGGTCCTCCGAAGAAAACATTTGCGTCCCTCCTAGGCTCCCTACCTGCTACTCCCACTATTACTGCTACCACCCCCTCTCCCCATCCTTCAGTATCCTCCTTTTGCTCCTCCCTCATCCTTATCCTCCAGCTATGTGCGCCTCCTCCGCCTCCGCCCCTACCACCATCACCATCACAATTGTCTCATATCGCCATAGCCAGATTCATACTAGTACTCTTCTTCATCCGCATGATCATCAGCAGCATCATCATCACCCTCACCACTACCACCATCATCAGCATCAGCAGCATCATGTTCATCATCAGCAGCAGCAGCATCATCAGCAGCATCATTGTCAGATACGGTAGCAGCAGCAGCATCATTATCACCATCACCCCCACCATCGCCATCACCATTACCATCAGTATCATCATCAGCATCATCGCCATCGCCATCAACATCATCATCGTCATCGTCAGCATCATCACCATCATCATCATCATCAGCATCATCACCATCATCAGCATCATCAGCAGCATCAGCAGCATCAGCATTGTTATCATCATCATCATCAGCATCCTCACCATCACCATGATTGGCATCAGCAGCCTCGTCACCCTCACCATCATCATCATCATCATCATCATCATCATCATCATCATCATCATCATCATCATCATCAACAGCATCATCAGCAGCATCATCATTAGCAGCATCATCAGCAGCAGCATCACCATCAGTAGCAGCATCATCAGTGTAATCATCATTATCACAATCACAAGCATAGCCATCATTATCCCCATCACCCTCACCATCACCATCACCACCGTCATCACCAATGCATGGGCATCAACATCATCATCATCATCATCATCATCATCATCATCATCATCATCATCATCATCATCAGCGTCATCATCGTCATCGTCATCATCATCATCATCATCAGTATCAGCATCATCACCATCATCATCACCATCACCATCATCATCAGCAGCATCATCATCATCTTCATCACGTTCATCTTCATCTTCATCTTCATCTTCATCTTCATCATCATCCCTTCTCGTATTTCGTGTCTCGTTTTCCGCCGGCGCGCTCCCTTCTCCTTTCTGCGCCACTCCTGCCCCCTCCGCCCCCCCCTCATCTCTGTTCGTCGTCCTGGCCATGTGTCCCGTTGCGTGCCCACGGTTCTCCCCCCGCAGCTTGCGCAGGTGCGCCGACGCTGGCAGCTGGCTGGCGGCCCACTCTGCGGCACAAGGGCCAGTGAGACTCGCGAACCCCGGGCTCTCCATCCCGCCCCTCGGGGAGGGCAGGCAGGCCCGAGGAGAGCTGGCGGGGGCGGGAGAGGGGTCGAGGAGGATCGCAGGAGGACAGTAGGAGGATCGACGAGGGTGGAGGGAGGAGCGAGGGGGGGAGGGAGGGGGGAGGAGGTGCGGGCCTCGTCGGATTGCGCTGGCGTGCGAAAGGAAGTGCTTCCAATAAGGAGGGAGGAGGGTGGCATAGGGAGGAGGGCGGAGGGAGGAGGGGGCGCCAATGAAAAAGTGGCAGGAAGTAATGAGTAGGTCACGGAGAAGCTTCTCAAGTCTCTACTTGGTCACGATATGACGTGAGGAGGAGAAGGCGGAGGAGGGGAAGGGAAAGGAGGGAGAGGTTGGGAGGAGGACTTGCGCGAAAGCGAAACTTGTCTGCGTACATGTGCCCGTCTGCGTCGTACTTGGGGGGCCTCTGGGCGTATGCTCGCAGCTGTGGCCGAACGACCTGGCCCGAAAGGTTGGGAATTGGGAGAAGAGGAGGCGGAGGAGGAGGAGGAAAGGTGAAGGAAGAGGAGGGGGGGAGGCGGGGGAGCGTGGAGAGGGAGAGGGAAGAAAAGGTGGTTGTCTTTGATGCGCGGCGGTTCGGCCACGACCGCAAGGGCGTATAGACTGGAAGAGGTGGAGGGAACAGATGAGGAGAAGGGAGGGCAACGCCGACTGCGACAGGGAGGAGGATGGTGAAGGGAAAAAGGGGGAGGAGGAGGAGGAGGAGGAGGAGAAGGAGGAGGAGGAGGAGGACGACGACGACGACGACGAAGACGACAACAAGGAGGCGGGAGTATATAAAGACAGAAGATGGGCGCAGGAAAAAGAGGAGAAGAAGGAGGACGGGGAATTAGGAGGCGGATGAGGGGTGGAGGAGGAGGAGGAGGACGATCCTTGCGCCCCTCTCCCACCTCCCCTCGCGCTCTCGCTCACTCCTCCATGGATGCGCCGTCTCTCGAGCGCTCTCCTTCTTGCGCTTGTGCATGGAGCCGCCTTTACGCAGGCAGATTGGTTCCCTTCCTCCCCCGTGCCCGCCCTATATCCATTCTTGCTTCCCCCATTATCCCCCCGCCGGCCAAGCCACCCCAATTGTCGTAGTTCCCACCCCGCCTGCCGTAGTTTTCTGCGCACGGCTGGTGAGGCCAATAACGGCCCCGAGCCCCCGTCGGACAACGCGTGCGGGCACTGTCGTCGCGGCGACGGAAAGCCGTGGGGGGGGAGGGAGGGAGGGAGGGTAAATGGGGAGGGCGATGCCGAGGGTGGGAGGGGAGGAGATGGAAGGTAAAAGGGGGACGGCACACAAACAACGAAGTGATTACCACGGTTTCTTGTGTCATTGCAGTGCTTGGCTTGTGAAGTCTTCGGCAGGCGGGGCCTCAGTCAACTACTTGGTGCCAGCATTGTCGCGGCGCGGACATTGCGACCATCCCTTCCTCTTGCCATGTTCTTTCCATAGCGTCTTCCACCTGGCTGTTGATGCCATGTCGCGGGTGCCCGACAAACGAGATGTCACCATGATGTCGCAGAAGAGCGGCGGACACCCCGCTAAGTTCAAGAAGGAGCAATGATCAATGCAACTCGCTTGGGAATCATTGCTGGTTCTATTGGGGCAAAATTCAGGCCCAAGGGGGCCTTGAATGTGCCTATAGGGCTGTCTTGGAGTACGACTGGCGGGGGGATGATTAATTACGCTCCCCACTTCGTCCAGGGCCGAAGCATTGCCCTTTGGGACCCTGTTGGGCGCAGTTGGGGCCGTCTTGGGCCACAGTTGGGCCCCAATCGGGGTTCTCTTGGGCCGTATTGAGCCCACCCTGAGGCCTCCAGAGCCCATCGGAAGCGAAAAGACAAGAAGACAAACGAAATGAAGAATGTCTTGAGGCGTTTGGAGGGTTTTGGCCTCTCGAGAAAGCGCCTCGGAATAGCAACATGTTGAATTACAGATTTTTGATTTAGGCTTTAGGGCTTAGGATTTACACTACGTATTAACGTCTGCGGACCTCGCCGCCATGTTAATTTGATTGCGCCATTCGGCGAGGCTACGATCCCTCTTAGAAAATAGGATTCGCATCGCGAAGGCAAGATTTCGGGCCTGCCGCTCGCGTCGCGAAGGCTTGCTTGCGCGGAGTGTTTGTCGGGCCGCTGCGGAGGTGCTCCTGCTCGCGCAGGCTCGCACGGAGCGCCGGTCGGGCCGCTGCGGGGACGCTCTCGTTCGTGCACGCTCGCACTTAATGCTCGTCGGGCCGCTCCAGAAGCGCTCCCGCTCGTGCGGGCTCGCGCGGGGCGCCTGTCGGGCCGCTGCGGAGACGCTCCCGCGCGTGCAAGCTCGCACGGAATGAGCTCCAGAACGGAGCGCTTCGGGGCGTTTGGGAGCGCTTGGGAGCGCTTGGGGGCGCTTGGGCTTGCCTGGAAGCGCCCACGAGCGCCGGGGAACGCTTCGCACCGTTTCGGAAGGCCTGGAGAGGCGCCGGAGAGCTTTGGGGGCGTCGCGATGGCGCCATGCTTGCTGCCGGTCGGGCTTGCTCAATACGGAGTGCTTTTTCGTTTTGACGGTTTAAGGTTTAGGGTTTAGGGTTTCGGGCCTCGTTGGCGGAAGCAGCTCGACCCCCTCCGACCAGGGTTGAGAGGGTCGGCTGTCCTTCGCTCCCCCAGAAACACCCCTTCAGGGTTCAGGGTTCTTCTACCCCCTCGCTCCCCCTTTTTCTTGGGGGGAGGTTCATGCTGGCGGCCGCGTGCTTCGGGCATCAGTCTTCGGTCCTTCGCCCCCCCTTCCCAGTGAGGGGGGGCCTTGCAGGCAGCTATATCAAGCTTGCTCGCTGCGGCAATGCCGCATTCATATCCGACACGCAGCATCCAGATTGTTCTGTTGCGCGCGCACGTTTAAGGTTCGTACGTTGCCTTGCCCGCGCGCGCAGGTTTAAGGCTTGTGCGTTGCCCCGCCTGCGCGCGCAGGTTCAAGGCGCGCGCGTTGCCTTAAGTTTGCGCGCGCAGGTTTGAGGTTTGAGCGTTGCCTTGCCTGCGCGCGCAGGCTTAAGGTTTGTACGGTGCTTTTCTTGCGCGGGCAGGTTTTAGGTTTGCGGGTTCCTGGCCGCTTCCGGTCGTTCCGGGACGTTCCAGGCCGTCTCGGGCCGTTTCGAGTTGTTTCGGGTTGTTTCGGGCCGTTCCGGGCCGTTCCGGGCCGTTCCGGGTCGTTCCGGGCCGTTCTGGGCCGTTCAGGGCCGTTTTGGGCCGTCTCGGGCCGTTTCGGGATGTTCCCTGCCGTTCCGCGCCGTTCCGCGCCGTTCTGGGCCGTCCGGGCCGTTTCGAGCCGTTTCGACCCGTTCGGGGTCGTTCGGGGCCGTTCTGGGCTGTCCCGGGCCATTCCGGAACGTTTCGGGCCGTTCCTGGCCGTTCTGAGTCGTTCCGAGGCGTTCCGGGCCGTCTTTCGGGCTCTTCCAGGCCGTTCTGGGCTGTTTCCTTCTGCCGCCCTTCCGCCGCCCTTTTGCCAGCTTTCCGCCGCTGTCCGCTTGGTTTCGATTTGCCGTTTTGGCCCGTTTCCACTCGTTTCGCGTCGGTTTGCGCTGTTTCGGGCCGTCTCGGGCCGTCTCGGGTTGCTTCGAGCCGTTCCAGGCCGTTCCGGTCCGTTCCACGCCGTTTCGAACCGTCTCGGGCCGTTTCGGGCCGCTTCGGGCCGTTCTGGGCCGTTCTGGGCCGTTTCGAGCCGCTGTTCCGGGCCGTTCAGGGCCGTTCCGGGCGGGCGTTCCCAGGCGCTCCCAGGCGGAAGTTCCCAGGCGTTCCCCAGCTCTTGCGAGAGATTTATATTGGCGGCGGACAACACCGAAACGCGCGAGCAATTCGTTCCCAGGTTAAGGGTGTCTTTATCCGTCAGGGTTTCGCTCCCTGCCGCCGGCCCCCTCTCTCGGAGAATGGGCCATGGAAGAGCGAAGTCATGAGGTCTGGGCGCCGCCGTGAAGCAGTGTCGGGACTTGTTTGTTTTTCGGCCCTGGCCCGGCGGATCTGCGTGACGGGTGCCGCCGAATGTCAGAAATGTGGCGAATCCCTTGTGTTTTTGGACCCTGGCCCTACGGATCTGCGTGAGAGGTGCCGCCGGATTTCAGCAATGTGGCGAATCCCTTATGTTTTTTGACCCTGACCCTGCCGATCTGCGCGAGGGGCGATGTCGAAGTTCAGAAATGTAGCAAATCCGATATGTTTTTGGACCTTGGCCCTGCCGATCTGCGTGAGGAGTGCCACCGAATGTCAGAAATGTGGCAATTCCCCTATATTTTTGGACATTGACCCCGCCGATCTGCGTGAGGGGCGCTACCGAATGCTAAAAATGTGGTATACCCCTTGTGTCTTTGCACCCTGACCCCGCCGATCCGCATGAAAGGTGGCACCGGATGTCGAAAATGTAGCAAATCCCATTTGGTTTTGGACACTGACCCCGCCGATCTGCGTGAGGGGTGCCACCGAATGTCAGAAATGTAGCGAGTCCTCTGAGTTTTTGCGCCCTGACCGCGCCGATCTGCGCGAGGGGTGCCGCCGAAAGTCAGAAATGTGGCAAGTCCCCTGTGTTTTTGTTCCCTGACCCCGCCGATTTGCGTGAGGGGTGCAACCGAATTTCAGAAATGTGGCGAATCCTTTGGGCTTTTGCACCCTGACCCCGCCGATCTGCGTTAGGGATGTCACCAAATGTAAGAAATATCGCAAATCCCATGTGTTTTTGGACCCTGACCCCGCCGATCTGCATGAGGGGTGCCACCGAATTTCAGAAATGTGGCAAATCCCTTGCGCGTTTGGACCCTGACCCCGCCGATCTGCGTGAGGGGTGTCAACTTTTACGCACCCCAGCAATTCAGACAATACGATTTCTCCTAGTAAAAATTCCCGTTTTGGGCCTCCCCCCCTCGCGCGGTCCATCAACAAGGAACAGTCAGCAGCAAGAAGTCAACAAGGAAGAGTAAGCAGCAAGAAGCAGAACTGTAACAGTGGAATTTGGAAGCTGCAAGTGGTACAGGAAACTGCGAATCCTCGGCCTACAGCCTGGTAGCCCCACAAGGGGGCCGGCGGATTTGGCGGAACGCAGTACTGGCGTCGGCCTCAATTCTACCCGCGGGCTCGACTAGCGCTCGCCTTTCGCCACCGATAGCGCTCGAGGTCGAAAGCGCGACCCAACGGAGTCGCGCGCCAGTTTAGGGCTTAGAGTTTAGGGCCAATTAGCAAGAGCGTCGCAACACACTCGACGCTGCTCACACTGCCGCGGCGTTCACACCGCACCCACCCTGGATACCCATTACATATGAAGGCACGCATGGGATATGAGTTTAGGGCGCGATCCTCGAGCGGGCACGCATGCAATGAGAGGTTAGGAATTAGCCGCCGCGCGGGAGGGGCGCGATCCTTGAGCGGGAGGGGCGCGATCCTCGAGCGGGCATGCGTGGGAGACGGGGGGTGAGGAATTAGCCGCCACGCGGGGGGAGCAGAATCCGTTCGCGTGCACGCATGCGATAGGGGGGCTAGAAATTTGCCGCCATGCATGAGGGGCAGAATCCACGTGCGCGAGGGGCGCGATCCTCGACCGGGAGGGGCACGATCCTCGAGCGGGCACGCACGGGATGGGGAGCTCGAAATTAGCCGCCACGCGGGGGAGGGGGGAAGGGGGAGGGGGGAGGTGGGAGGGCTTGTGAGCGCCTCGTGGTCGCCCATTGGGAAGTGCGCAGTGTATTGTCCACCCCAAGGGTTTATTTCTTCCGTTGGTTGTCTGGCGGAGGTTCTGGGATCACCAATCTCGGTTCTGCTATGTCAGACAGCAGGCGTCTCGTTTCCTCTCTACTTATTGTCAGGGGCTCCCTGAGAACCGTCTTCAGTTTTGTCCCGAAGTGCTTACAAAGTAAAGTATTTGTTGAAACGATGATCCGTTTGAATTGCCGGAGCTGCTGAGTCGCAGGTTTGTGAGTATTTTTTCCTTGCCCATCGCGTCGCGTGGGCCTTGAGCCAAACAGTTCCGGACATAGACTGTCCTAGTGCCGGAGGTGGCATTGCTGCACACCTCCGGCGGAGCTCTGACCAGAGGTGGCATTGCTACGCACCTATGGTCAGAGCCTGTACGCAACCACTGTGGCAATCTAAACGGTTGCACGGCGGCGACGGCCAGAGACCGGTGGAAACCGTGACACGCACGGGGGGTGTTCCGTGACATATCAACGCTTTGCTATGCTATACCTCACGCACCGCACAGCGCGGCAGCAACGAAAATGTCACGAATTTCGTCCGGGAGGCTGTCCTGCCAGCGTGGCCGAAGTCATGGCCACGGCCGTTCTCCTAAGCACTGGAGAAATTATGCCGCCCTACGCTATGCCCACACACCGCGCAGCACGGCACCGCACAAGCCTATGCACGTTGGCTGGTTTTGCGGGGGTCCCCGGGCCTCCGGCCGGGTTAACGTCACCGCGTTGTCCAGAGCTCCCCCGGTTCACGCTCCTCCTCTCCGTGCCAGTCATCATCGGACACGGAGCCTTCGCGACCAAGGCCCAAACCAGCCCTAGGTCGCAGGATCGCGGGGACAATCACACTACGGAGCGCAGCCCTAGGTGTGACCTGAAAGTCGACATCGCATTCGGGCCGCCTGACTTGGTCAACCCATCGGCGCGATGGTCAGCGGTGCCTACCTGAATAATTTTCAGCTAACCTCTCTGCACGCGCGATCGCACCGCGTGCACCTTTGTAGTCAGAGACCCTGGTCCTCCACGACCCCTGCCCTGACGACACCAAGTTCGCAGCCGTGTTGTCGCCCAGCATCTCTGGCGACACTGGGAATCCCTGCGACTCCAGGGTAGCCCTCGTGGCTCCCAGCATCCTCTCCCCGACCGCAATTGCTTCGACTTCCGCCTCGGCGGTGCTGAATGGCCCCACCGCCTGGCGGGTGCTCCTCCAATCCACGACCTGGCCGAACACGGTGGTCACCACCCCGCTCTGGGCGCGGGCGTCCTCCATCGAAGCATGAGACCATTTCTTTATTGCTTGGGGCATGACGGGCGTCATGGCCCTCGGCCCCCCCCCTATGACGTAACGCTCCCCCCCCAGTGTGCTCCGGGCACTGCCGCCGTGCGTATTGGGATCCGCGTAGGTGTCCGCGCAGGAACCCGCATAGGAGTCTGGTCCGCAGTCGTCGTCGTCGTGGTCGACGTCGTGGCTCGTGGCTCGTCGCTCGTCGCTCGTCGCTCCTCGTCGTCGTGCGCGCGGACGCGGCTGGAGCCTGTTTTTTTATTCTGGGCCGATGACGGCAGTCATCTGGGGGTGGTGGAGGGGGTCGATGACGTCACGCTTCGCGCCGGCGGCGCCTGGGAATGCTTAACAATGACGGAAGACGGGTGGCACCAGCATGTAGGTGGCGATCTGCACCACAACGCCTGTGTACACCTCAGTGTCTTCGTGCACCACAACGCCTGTGTACACCACACCGCCTATGTACACCACAGCAGCCGCGTGCAACACAGCGCCAATTTGTGCCACCGCGCGCGCGGGCACAACAGCTCTTGTGTACACCACAGCGCGTGCGTACACCACATCAGCCGTGTGCAACACAGCAGTGTACACCACAACGCTTGCGTGCATAGCAGTGCCTGTGTACACCGCGGCGCTTGTGTGCACCACAGCAATCGTGTGCAACACAGCACCATTGTTGCATGTAGAATGTTAGAAGGAATCATTATGACGAAGTGGAGCGGATGTGGGTTCCACCGAAAACACCAGAAAATCATCCTTATGGACAAGGGAACGCCGTGGGAATCTACGAGTTCTTCGGAGTTCGCCCGCATCACCGTAACTCCTCCCATCTGCGCCCAGGAAGCTCCAGCTCAATTGGCCGTCCGAGAACCAAGTGGGCCGATTCAATAGACCATTCTGCGGTGCACGCTGAGTTGCGCACGTGTGCTGTAGCGCCAACCCGCTCGACAGGGGGTAAGGAGGGGGAGGACGAGCAGGAGGAGGAAGAAGAGAAAATAGGAGGAGGAGGAGGAGGTGGAAGTAGAGGAGAAGGGAAGAGGGAAAAACGTCGCATTCGATCATCAGCATTTTCCTGGCGTGGCGCTTTTGCAGCAGACCCTCACGTACAGGCTCTTTCTACCTGTCCTATGCACGCAGGCGCCGTGGTGTACAATAGCGCTGCGTTGCACGCGGATGCTGTGGTGTAAACAGGCGCTGTGGCGTGCACAGGCGCCGCGGTGCACGCAAGCATTGTGGAGTACACAGGCGCTGTGTTGCAATGGTTGCGTCCGGCGTGCACTTGTACACCGGCGCTGTAGTGTACGCAAGCACTACAGTGTACACGGGCGCTGTGTTGCACACGGCTATTGCGATGTACGCAGGCGCTGTGGTGTACACGCGCGCTGTGGTGCACGCGAGCGTTGTGGTGTACACAGGCGCAGGGGGGGGCAGATCGCCACCTACAGGCTGCTCGCGTCGTCGTCGTCGTCGCTTGTCGCTCGTCGCGTCGTGCGCGCGGGCGCGGCTGTGGTGCCGGAGCCACACGGCGGGGGGGGCGGGCGTTACGTCATACCCCCCCCGCCCACCCCCCACCCCCCCCATGACGCCCGTCATCGCCGAACATAAACTAAAGGCTCTTCATCGGTGTAGACCTTGAGGACAATCTCGTCGGTCTCCTCGGTGTCACCCGCGCTGCCCGCCGCGTAAAACAGATCGAAGCCACGGGTGCCAGCCAGATATCGAAGGACCCGCTTGCCTATCATCAGGGCCTCGGTGGGGCGCCTGGTGGACAACGCAGCGGCCCTACTGACAACGAATGAAATGTCCGGCCGAGTTCGCGATGCCAGCCACAGGAGGCCTCCAGCCATCCTTTGGGCTAGCCTGATTTGGCCCGTCTCTGGGGGGTCGTCCGCGTCGTCCTCAAAGTTCTCGAAGGACTCGCGCTCGAGGTTGAGGCTTCCAGTCGGCGTGCATGCGCCGAGGCCCCATTTCTGGAGCATGTTCTCGGTGTACTCGCACTGTGACAGAGAAATCCCCTCACGGCCAACTTTGATGTCGACGCTGAGGTACTTGAGCACGCCAGGCTCCACCACCACCACCACTAAGCCGTGCATCCGGTAGGACGCGTGGGCGGAAGCGCGCAATTGGCGACTCCTCAGAAGAACTGCAACAGAGAGCGAGAACGCTGAGCGCCCCACGACTGTGAAGCAGGCAGCGGAGCGCAACGCGACTGTGAAGCAGAAAATGGAACACAATACTGCTCCGAGGTACACGTAGAGGGAAAAGGGAAAAAAACAAGGCGAGGGGAGGAAGACAAGGACGGGGGAGGTGAGGCCTCAGATGTGCTGTGTCATCTCGTACACTTGGGAAGCCCACTGCTGTCTGGGCCGGCCGCGCCGCCGGTGTTCCACCCAGTTGCGTGGGGTACCGTCCAGATTACATAAACATTGACGTACCAAGGACGAAGGTGCACTGGAAGCGACACGGATGTATAGTTTGCGTTGTTTGTCAAGTAGAAGCTGAGATAGCGGTTTGGCGCCCGCTTTTTCCAATACGCTCGAATCACTTATTCGCGAGAAGAAAGAATGCGGAATGCCCAGGACTCGGCGGAGGCAGCGGCAGTGGAACGCGTCGAGCCTCGACTTGTCAGCCTTCAATAACCACAGGGAATCGAGCGAGTACAATAGCTTACTTACCACCACACTGTCATACACTTTGAACTTTTGTTTCCATCCAACAGCGGTGTGCGACCAAATCTTAGGGTGAAGTGTGCGGTCACCGTTATTTCACGCGCGCGACGGCACCCTCACACGTCGGCCGACGCGTGAGGGTGCCGTCGCGCGCGTGAAACAACGGGACCGCACGCTTCACCCTCACGCGCGCGTGAGGGCGCGGGTGAGGGTGAAGTGTGCGGTCCCGTTATTTCACGCGTGCGACGCGTCGGCCGACGCGTGAGGGTGCCGTCGCGCGCGTGAAATAACGGGACCGCACGCTGCGCCCTCACGCGCGCGTGAGGGCGCGAGTGAGGGTGAAGTGTGCGGTCCCGTTTTTCACGCGTGACGGCATGTCGGCCGACGCGTGAGGGTGCCGTCGCGCGCGTGAAATAACGGGACCGCACGCTGCGCCCTCACGCGCGCGTGATGGCGCGGGTGGGTGAAGTGTGCGGTCACCGTTATTTCACGCGTGCGACGCGTCGGCCGACGCGTGAGGGTGCCGTCGCGCGCGTGAAATAACGGTGACCGCACGCTGCGCCCTCACGCGCGCGTGAGGGCGCGAGTGAGGGTGAAGTGCGCGGTCACCGTTATTTC